TTGAATAGAATAGAACAGAAAATCCCTTTATTGTCTCACAGGGAAAGTCTGGTATTTGCAGCAATTAAATATTATAGAAAAAAAAGGGTCACAAAAATATGGGCCTTAGAAAAATGTATAAGAATAACATAAGAGTTAAAAGATAAACAATTAAATACTGTTACGCAACAAAATAAAATATTGTGTGTATTCTATATTTGGGTAAATATATATTTGACTCATTATTGACTCATAACACCCAGTTTAATTTTAAAATAATCCAAAACAACTCGCTAAAAAAACAGCAGATTTAGCTGGAGTTTTTTTTATGCATAAAATATAAACCTAAATTAAAAAATATATATTACTAATTTTATGCAGAAGAATTTTTTTTTCCATCAACATAAACTGCTTTCCATCTTTAGAGGAAGTTATGTGTTTCAAAATTCCCCCCCTTTCCTCGATGGGTCCTTGGCTGGTCCCCTAAGATTCCTTCTGAAACATCTAAAATATTCTTTAAGATCTAAAGAGTAAAAAAATATTTATTCCCAGGAGACCAGTGGCTGGAAGTTGGAGGGGATTTTTTTTTTTTACAGGGAAGGGCCATTTAAACGGCTGCTACTGCATGTTAGGAGAGGATAAAGAACCTTATATATCTCTTGTTTAGTGTATTTTTCCTCCTCTCAGACAGCTGAAGGTACCGTTTGTTGGTAGAGGAACCGGATATTTCATTTAAGTGAAGAAAAATACGGTAAGACTACGTCAAACTGTTTTTTAAAAGTTACTCAAATGTAACTGAGTAAATGTAAGTAGTTAATTCCTACATCTGTCTGCTTTTATAGATGAACTAAATATTAAAAACAAAGCGGAGCTCCTCCTGGTAGGAACCTGATCTGTTCTCCTATCTCCAGTCTGAGGTCAGGAGCCCCTGAGTCGTCCTCCTTCCCTCTCTGTGATTCTCTCACTACAGATTTTGCCTTTTTGGGGCCCCCAGGTGAACATCAGTGGGGGGCCCTCCTTAATGTCCCTGTCGGCTCTGAATGTGTCCGACGCTGTGGAGGCGCAACAGTTCATCGCTGCTTTCCTGATCCTATAAGAAGATGAAGAAGGTAAAATATTCCTCCATCTTTGAAGAAAATCCAAACCATAGCTGTAAAATATTCAGTAATTTTTTTTGTTTCAGCAATAAACACTTTGGTGATAGTTATATATTTTTTAAAACAGCTAAAAATTTAGACATTTTAGGATTTATGAATAAAAACATTTTGCTAAAAGGAGAGAATGAAGCTTTAGGATTATTATAAAAACCTTAAATCTGAACTACTGCTCATTCTGATGAACAATGGTTTTATTTTTTATCTCAGAAACACTTTGATCCTAAAAACATGTTTATTTTTGTTATCCGTGATGAGAGTTTTTGATTAACATTGATCATATTGAAATCTTCCATCGTTCATAAACTTGCTCCATTTCCCTGCAGTCTTTTAACTTGACTCCATCTGGAAACCTTCCGTTGAAGTAATTTTGGGAAGGGGCGAAAATACTGGTTAGCTGATTGGCCTATGTTG